AGCCCCTTACCCCACACTCCATGGGCCCCTTCCCTCAACCTCAGCCCCTTACCCCACACTCCATGGGCCCCTTACCCCACGCTCCTTGGGCCCCTTCCCTTAACCTCAGCCCCTTACCCCACACTCCATGGGCCCCTTCCCTTAACCTCAGCCCCTTACCCCACACTCCATGGGCCCCCTTCCCCACACCCAGGCCCTGCCCGCCGCCCCAGGTGTACCCACCAACACAACAACATAACTGAGTATATTGCAAAATAAGATTACACAAGATGAACGATAACAGGACAGGTGGTCCCTGCACAATGACGTATGACCATAACTACCTCGCCCAGGGATCCAATGTTGTTGTTGATGGGTTTGTTGTTGTTGTTGTCACGTGTTGTTGGTGTGTGTGTTGTTGTTGGTGGTGCTGGCCGCGCTTGTGAGACTGCTGACTCTCACCGAGGTGTTGTTCAACACGCTGCTCTTGCACGCCTTCACCTGCCATATTGTTATTCAACAGCTTCCAATTGTTTCCCTCCTGGCGCTTGTCCTTGTTTGGTCCTGTTTAGTGTTTCTGTTCTTGCTTCCTTGTCTGTTGTGGTTGTTGATGCTCACGTTGATGTTCGTGTGGTTGTTGGTGTTCACGTTGATGTTGGTGTGGTTGTTGGGTGCTCCTGTTGATGATGTGTGGTTATTGATGCTCCCGTTGATGTTGTTGTGGTCGCTGATGTTGGTGTGGTTGTTGATGTTCCTGTTGATGATGGTGTGGTTGTTGATGCTCCCGTTGATGATGGTGTGGTTGTTGATGCTCCCGTTGATGTTGGTGTGGTTGTTGATGCTCCTGTTGATGTTGGTGTGGTTGTTGATGCTCACGTTGATGTTGGTGTGGTTGTTGATGTTCCCGTTGATGTTGGTGTGGTTGTTGATGCTCCCGTTGATGTTGGTGTGGTTGTTGATGTTCCCGTTGATGTTGGTGTTGTTGTTGATGCTCACGTTGATGTTGGTGTGGTTGTTGATGTTCCCGTTGATGTTGGTGTGGTTGTTGATGTTCCCGTTGATGTTGGTGTTGTTGTTGATGCTCACGTTGATGTTGGTGTGGTTGTTGATGTTCCCGTTGATGTTGGTGTGGTTGTTGATGCTCCCGTTGATGTTGGTGTGGTTGTTGATGCTCCCGTTGATGTTGGTGTGGTTGTTGATGCTCCCGTTGATGTTGGTGTGGTTGTTGGTGCTCCCGTTGATGTTGGTGTGGTTGTTGATGCTCACGTTGATGTTGGTGTTGTTGTTGATGCTCCCGTTGATAATATAACGACTGTTGTGGCTGTTAATATTGCCGTTGTCGTTCAGAGAGCTGCTGTTGTTTACAGTTACTGTTGTTAGTGGGATTGTGAGTTTGAGGAAGAGTGAGACATGGAGGGAAGTGCAGTGTGGTGCGGGAGCACTGTCAGCCAGGGTGACAGTGACTGACCTGTGTCACTGTCGACGACCCGTCACCTGGCGGCTCTGGGTACAACGGTATGTCGTCTGGAGTACTGTCAACAACGGTATGTCATCTGGAGTCCTGTCAACAACGGCATGTTATCTGGAGTCCTGTCAACAACGGCATGTTATCTGGAGTCCTGTCAACAACGGCATGTTATCTGGAGTCCTGTCAACAACGGCATGTCATCTGGAGTCCTGTCAACAACGGCATGTTATCTGGAGTCCTGTCAACAACGGCATGTTATCTGGAGTCCTGTCAACAACGGCATGTTATCTGGAGTCCTGTCAACAACGGCATGTCATCTGGAGTCCTGTCAACAACGGAATGTTATCTGGAGTCCTGTCAACAACGGCATGTTATCTGGAGTCCTGTCAACAACGGCATGTTATCTGGAGTCCTGTCAACAACGGCATGTTATCTGGAGTCCTGTCAACAACGGTATGCTCGTTGTTGTCTTTCTGTTCACCTTCTCACGACCTTCTGGTGACCTGCTGGTGACCTTCTGATGACCTTCTGATGACCTTCTGGTGACCTTCTGATGACCTTCTGATGACCTTCTGATGACCTTCTGGTGACCTGCTGGTGACCTTCTGATGACCTTCTGATGACCTTCTGATGACCTTCTGGTGACCTGCTGGTGACCTTCTGATTACCTTCTGGTGACCTTCTGATGACCTTCTGGTGACCTTCTGATGACCTTCTGATGACCTTCTGGTGACCTTCTGATGACCTTCTGGTGACCTTTTGATGACCTTCTGGTGACCTTCTGATGACCTTCTGGTGACCTTCTGGTGACCTTCTGATGACCTTTTGATGACCTTCTGGTGACCTGATGACCTTCTGATGACCTTCTGATGACCTTCTGGTGACCTTCTGGTGACCTTCTGGTGACCTTTTGATGACCTTCTGGTGACCTTCTGATGACCTTCTGGTGACCTTCTGATGACCTTTTGATGACCTTCTGGTGACCTTCTGGTGACCTTCTGGTGACCTTCTGGTGACCTTCTGGTGACCTTCTGGTGACCTTCTGATGACCTTCTGGTGACCTTCTGATGACCTTTTGATGACCTTCTGGTGACCTTCTGATGACCTTCTGATGACCTTCTGGTGACCTGCTGATGACCTTCTGGTGACATTCTGATGACCTTCTGGTGACCTTCTGATGACCTTTTGATGACCTTCTGGTGACCTTCTGATGACCTTCTGAAGACCTTCTGGTGACCTTCTGGTGACCTTCTGGTGACCTTCTGGTGACCTGGTGACCTTCTGGTGACCTTCTGGTGACCTTCTGGTGACCTTCTGAAGACCTTCTGGTGACCTTCTGGTGACCTTCTGGTGACCTTCTGGTGACCTTCTGGTGACCTGGTGACCTTCTGGTGACCTTCTGGTGACCTTCTGGTGACCTGGTGACCTTCTGATGACCTTCTGATGACCTTCTGGTGACCTTCTGGTGACCTTCTGGTGACCTTCTGGTGACCTTCTTGTGACCTTCTGGTGACCTTCTGGTGACCTTCTGGTGACCTTCTTGTGACCTTCTGGTGACCTTCTTGTGACCTTCTGGTGACCTCATGACCTTCTGATGACCTTCTGATGACCTTCTCACGACCTTCCGGTATTATATCTCCAGGTGTAAGGTGGTAATAAGGACTAGTGCAGAGAGCAAGGGAGGGAGTGAGGACCTGAGAGAATCAAAGAGAAATGAGAAAACTTCCTTGATAGAGAGAGGAGGAAAGTTGTGAGGGAGAGGAAGGAATCACTTCTTACTGGAGCAAACTGCCTCCCATCACAGTTTATGGGAACTGGAGCGGGTGAATTATGGCGGGGGGGGGGGGGGGGGATTGTAACTCGTTGGGAAAGGGGAAAATAGTGACTAGCAAAATGAGGGGAAATATCGACTAAGAGGGAGGAGGACACGAGCCTCGCTGCGTTGTATACGTCGATTACGTCAAGTTATAAGGCCTAGTAAAGTGAGGTATAAAGTGCATAAATGGTCAATTAAGTTCACAGCTGGCATGTGAGGGGAGTCGAACTTGAGTGGGGGGGGGGAGTGGGAGCATGACGTCACATTCCTTGACAACAAACTGTGAGTGAATAATCAGCTTCATATCCTCCAATCACTGCCAGGTTGCCAGAGACGCATCCTTCCCTCGCACCGTTGCAGTGTTCAAGGCACAGAAGCAACACTGCAGCACACAGTGTTGACGTCTTAATGTCAGGGTGCATCAACACTGGCTTATCGCTTGGTTTGGATATTTGCTGACTTAGCAACTTAGCAACAAATGTTTGCAGTGATCATAGCTGACTTCTGCTACACTCTGTATACACATAGTGTGTAAGCGAGTATATATGATGCGTGATCCTTCACACGGTACAAAACCACCTCCTTGACAAAGGTTACTCTGTCAAAGCCTCTTGGTCTCAATATTTGTTCTAATACATGATGTATGGCATACGTGCATACATACAAACATTCATGTATGATTCCATACTTGTTAGAAATATTCTGTTGACTTCCTCACTTCCCACATTATCATTTTTCTGTCAGAATTCTCTTGGTTTCCTCAGTCTATGGTCTCGCACTGTTGTTTTCTCCTTGTGTGGCTATAGAACAGCTTTGGTTGTTCCTTAACTTTGGCAGCAATGTTATTTTTAAATTGCCTCTCAGCTTCTTTTCTTGCTCCGAGGTATTATTTCTGGTACTCTTGAGTACCTCGTTATTGTCTTCTTCTCCTTGTTCCCTGTACGTACAACACCCATTTTCTTGTCCTTTCTTGATCTTCCTTCCATTGCCTGTTGAAGAAGTGGTTTACGTCTCCCGTCCACCTCCTTCTTCAGTGGTGTGAACTGCTCGTTGCCTCGGCACATTTCCCAACAAAGACATCCATCAGATCATTTACTACCTTCCTTTCCCACTGAATTCCACATAGAATTCCTTCATCTTACTGTCATCCCATGTCTGAAATCCCTCTTCTTTCTTTTCAAGAGGTTTCTGTGTGAAACAAACTCCTTTCCCTCCACTAGGAGGTAAAGGAGTCGAGAGGCGGGACCAAAGAGCCGAAGCTCAACCCCCGCAAGTACAACTAGGTGGGTATGATATTGAAGTATGAGAGCGCAATGTTCGCTAACTCCTAGAGGCATCTGATGCACTTCCATTTTCAACTTCTGCCAGTTGACAGATTCGCTTCTTCATGTGCACTGTTTCTCATATTTTCTGGTCCTGCTTTCCTCATTTGCTGCCTCATTTGCTGAATTAACAACTGTATGATAGTTTTACTCATTTCTCTGACTTGACAGTTAATGAGGGAGGATTATATTGTTACTACTGTGTTACTCATCAATTATTTTTAAACCCAATGTCAAATATGAAAAAAGAAAATTACATTTTTTCAACCAAAAAAATATATATTTATAAAATATATAAATATATATTTATAAAATATATAAATATATATATATAGTTGTCAATTAACTTCACACGTCACTTATATAATGAACATTCTCTGGTGAGTCACATTAACTAAAGTTCAATGATCCTTCACTATCTCTGTGTCACGAAGACCTTGTCTGTGTACGAGATCACCTGTGATGTGTAACATTCATCAGGTGAATGTTGGCTCCTGAATGTTGGCACCTGAATGTTGGCTCCTGAATGTTGGCACCTGAATGTTGGCACCTGAATGTTGGCACCTAAATGTTGGCACCTGAATGTTGGGTCCTGAATGTTGGCTCCTGAATGTTGGGTCCTGAATGTTGGCTCCTGAATGTTGGGTCCTGAATGTTGAGTTCTGAATGTTGGCTCCTGAATGTTGGGTCCTGAATGTTGGGTCCTGAATGTTGGGTCCTGAATGTTGACTCCTGAATGTTGGGTTGTGAATGTTGGGTCGTGAATGTTGGGTCCTGAATGTTGGGTCCTGAATGTTGGGTCCTTAATGTTGGGTCCTGAATGTTGACTCCTGAATGTTGGCTCCTGAATGTTGGGTCCTGAATGTTGGGTCCTGAATGTTGGGTCCTGAATGTTGGGTCCTGAATGTTGGCTCCTGAATGTTGGCTCCTGAATGTTGGCACCTGAATGTTGACTCCTGAATGTTGGCTCCATAATGTTGGCTCCTGAATGTTGACTCCTGAATGTTGGCTCCTGAATGTTGGGTCCTGAATGTTGGCTCCTGAATTTTGACTCCTGAATGTTGGCTCCTGAATGTTGGCTCCTGAATGTTGGCACCTGAATGTTGACTCCTAAAAGTTGGCTCCTGAATGTTGGCACCTGAATGTTGACTCCTGAAAGTTGGCTCCTGAATGTTGGCTCCTGAATGTTGGCTCCTGAATGTTGGCACCTGAATGTTGGCACCTGAATGTTGACTCCTGAATGTTGGCACCTGAATGTTAGCTCCTGAATGTTGGCTCCTGAATGTTGGCACCTGAATGTTGACTCCTGAATGTTGGCTCCTGAATGTTGGCACCTGAATGTTGACTCCTGAATGTTGGCTCCTAAATGTTGGCTCCTGAATGTTGGGTCCTGAATGTTGGGTCCTGAATGTTGGCTCCTGAATGTTGGCTCCTGAATGTTGGCACCTGAATGTTGACTCCTGAATGTTGGCACCTGAATGTTGGCTCCTGAATGTCGGGTCCTGAATGTTGGCTCCTGAATGTTGGCTCCTGAATGTTGGCACCTGAATGTTGACTCCTGAATGTTGGCACCTGAATGTTGACTCCTGAATGTTGGCTCCTGAATGTTGGCTCCTGAATGTTGACTCCTGAATGTTGGCTCCTGAATGTTGGCTCCTGAATGTTGGGTCGTGAATGTTGGGTCGTGAATGTTGGGTCGTGAATGTTGGCACCTGAATGTTGACTCCTGAATGTTGGCTCCTGAATGTTGGCTCCTGAATGTTGGGTCGTGAATGTTGGCTCCTGAATGTTGGCTCCTGAATGTTGGCTCCTGAATGTTGACTCCTGAATGTTGGCTCCTGAATGTTGGCTCCTGAATGTTGGGTCGTGAATGTTGGGTCGTGAATGTTGGCACCTGAATGTTGACTCCTGAATGATGGCTCCTGAATGTTGGCTCCTGAATGTTGGGTCGTGAATGTTGGCACCTGAATGTTGGCTCCTGAATGTTGGCACCTGAATGTTGACTCCTGAATGTTGGCTCCTGAATGTTGGGTCGTGAATGTTGGGTCGTGAATGTTGGCTCCTGAATGTTGGCTCCTGAATGTTGGCACCTGAATGTTGACTCCTGAATGTTGGCTCCTGAATGTTGGCTCCTGAATGTTGACTCCTGAATGTTGGCTCCTGAATGTTGGGTCGTGAATGTTGGGTCGTGAATGTTGGCTCCTGAATGTTGGCTCCTGAATGTTGGCTCCTGAATGTTGGCACCTGAATGTTGACTCCTGAATGTTGGCTCCTGAATGTTGACTCCTGAATGTTGGCTCCTGAATGTTGGCTCCTGAATGTTGGGTCGTGAATGTTGGGTCGTGAATGTTGGCACCTGAATGTTGACTCCTGAATGTTGGCTCCTGAATGTTGGCTCCTGAATGTTGGGTCGTGAATGTTGGGTCCTGAATGTTGGCTCCTGAATGTTAGCTCCTGAATGTTGGCTCCTGAATGTTGGCACCTGAATGCTGGGTCGTGAATGTCGGGTCCTGAATGTTGGGTCGTGAATGTTGGGTCTTGAATGTTGGCTCCTGAATGTTGGCTCCTGAATGTTGGCACCTGAATGTTGGCACCTGAATGTTGGCTCCTGAATGTTGGCTCCTGAATGTTGGCTCCTGAATGTTGGCTCCTGAATGTTCACTCCTGAATGTTGGCTCCTGAATGTTGGCTCCTGAATGTTGACTCCTGAATGTTGGCACCAGAATGTTGACTCCTGAATGTTGGCACCAGAATGTTGACTCCTGAATGTTGGCTCCTGAATGTTGACTCCTGAATGTTGGCTCCTGAATGTTGACTCCTGAATGTTGGCACCTGAATGTTGGCACCTGAATGTTGGGTCCTGAATGTTGGCTCCTGAATGTTGGCTCCTGAATGTTGGCACCTGAATGTTGACTCCTGAATGTTGACTCCTGAATGTTGGCTCCTGAATGTTGGCACCTGAATGTTGACTCCTGAATGTTGGCTCCTGAATGTTGGCACCTGAATGTTGGCTCCTTGATGTTGGGTCGTGAATGTTCACATAAAATCATTCTCGAGGATAAGATTAAAACATCATGATGGTCCAGGGAAGAGTGGCACACGTGCCGCTCTGATGATTGATGATTCTTCCTAATCCATCGCTTGACGGCTGACAGGTAAACTTGACGGATGAGAGATGACAGGTAAACCTGACGACAGGCGGTAGTAAACTAAAAAATGGTGAGAGGATACTCACGTACGAGTGTAGATAAACAAGGATTAAAGCACTAAAAGCATTTTGGAAATGTGTTTAGTTATATTGCACGTTCTTTAAAATATGTTGCAGGTTAGGTTAGGTTAGGTTAGGTTAGGTTAGGTAAGGTTAGGTTAGGTTAGGTTAGGTTAGGTTAGGTTAGGTTAGGTTAGGTAAGGTTAGGTTAGGTTAGGTTAGGTTGGGTTAGGTTAGGTTAGGTTAGGTTAGGTTAGGTTAGGTTAGGTTAGGTTAGGTTTGGTTAGGTTAGGTTAGGTTAGGTTTGGTTAGGTTAGGTTAGGTTAGGTTAGGTAAGGTTAGGTTAGGTTAGGTTAGGTTAGGTTAGGTTAGGTAAGGTTAGGTTAGGTTAGGTTAGGTTAGGTTAGGTTAGGTAAGGTTAGGTTAGGTTAGGTTAGGTTAGGTTAGGTTAGGTTAGGTTAGGTTAGGTTAGGTTAGGTTAGGTAAGGTTAGGTTAGGTTAGGTTAGGTTAGGTTAGGTTAGGTTAGGTTGCTGTTGCTCGCAGTGTGCTGGGTAAAGATGGCAGCTACATGTTGTAAGATAAGTATATTATCTAAGACTTCAGAACAACGCGATCAACATTACTAAAATGCCTTGAACACGAACATCAGCAGTGTTGCAGGCCTTCCCTGGGTGTAGAGTGACCTTGTACACGAACATCACGAGTGTTGCAGGCCTTCCCTGGGTGTAGAGTGACCTTGTACACGAACATCACCAGTGTTGCAGGCCTTCCCTGGGTGTAGAGTGACCTTGTACACGAACATCAAGAGTGTTGCAAGCCTTCCCTGGGTGTAGAGTGACCTTGTACACGAACATCACCAGTGTTGCAAGCCTTCCCTGGGTGTAGAGTGACCTTGTACACGAACATCACCAGTGTTGCAGGCCTTCCCTGGGTGTAGAGTGACCTTGTACACGAACATCACCAGTGTTGCAGGCCTTCCCTGGGTGTAGAGTGACCTTGTACACGAACATCAAGAGTGTTGCAAGCCTTCCCTGGGTGTAGAGTGACCTTGTACACGAACATCACCAGTGTTGCAAGCCTTCCCTGGGTGTAGAGTGACCTTGTACACGAACATCACCAGTGTTGCAAGCCTTCCCTGGGTGTAGAGTGACCTTGTACACGAACATCACCAGTGTTGCAGGCCTTCCCTGGGTGTAGAGTGACCTTGTACACGAACATCACCAGTGTTGCAGGCCTTCCCTGGGTGTAGAGTGACCTTGTACACGAACATCAGCAGTGTTGCAAGCCTTCCCTGGGTGTAGAGTGACCTTGTACACGAACATCAGCAGTGTTGCAAGCCTTCCCTGGGTGTAGAGTGATCTTGTACACGAACATCACCAGTGTTGCAGGCCTTCCCTGGGTGTAGAGTGACCTTGTACACGAACATCAGCAGTGTTGCAAGCCTTCCCTGGGTGTAGAGTGACCTTGTACACGAACATCAGCAGTGTTGCAGGCCTTCCCTGGGGTGTAGAGTGACCTTGTACACGAACATCACCAGTGTTGCAAACAATACCGGCGGGTGAAGGGCAATTATAAACAACTTTCAAATCAACAAGTTTAGGTGAATATATTCTAGAACTTAATCCCTCCAAGACTGTCATTACCAAGGCCTTATGGGCCCTTAATGTAATAATATCTTTAGCATAATATTCAATATACATAACATTTATTTAACGTTGAGAATATGTTCAAGAACTCACACTGTGGTTACTGTTCAACCTGTTCTCGCACTTACTTACAGTCAATATTGACTTATTAAATACGTGAATATGTGACATACTAAACAAACTAGTTTACCTTGAAAAGCTTCATAGAAAACACCGACCTTACCTAACCTTCTTAGTATGTTAAGATAAGCATCTTATTGCTTCGTAATTACTATTATTACTTAACCTATACCTATAATTGGTCCCTAGTGAGGTAGTCTTTAGTGAGGTGGTCCCTAGTGAGGTGGACCCTAGTGAGGTGGTCCCTAGTGAGGTGGTCTTTAGTGAGGTGGTCCCTAGTGAGGTGGACCCTAGTGTGGTGGTCCCTAGTGAGGTGGTCCCTAGTGAGGTAGTCCCTAGTGAGGTGGTCCCTAGTGAGGTGGTCCCTAGTGAGCTGGTCCCTAGTGTGGTGGTCCCTAGTGTGGTGGTCCCTAGTGAGGTGGTCCCTAGTGAGGTGGCTCCTAGCGAGGTGGTCCCTAGTGAGGTGGCCCCTAGTAAGGTGTCCCTAGCGAGGTGGTCCCTAGCGAGGAGGTCCCTAGCGTGGTGGTCCCTAGTGAGGTGGTCTCTAGTGAGGTGGTCCCTAGTGAGGTGGTCCCTAGTGAGGTGGTCCCTAGTGAGGTGGTCCCTAGTGCGGTGGTCCCTAGTGAGGTGGTCCCTAGTGAAGTGGTCCCTAGTGTGGTGGTCCCTATTGTGGTGGTCCCTAGTGTGGTGGTCCCTAGTGAGGTGGTCCCTAGTGAGGTGGCTCCTAGCGAGGTGGTCCCTAGTGAGGTGGCCCCTAGTAAGGTGTCCCTAGCGAGGTGGTCCCTAGCGAAAAGGTCCCTAGCGTGGTGGTCCCTAGTGAGGTGGTCTCTAGTGAGGTGGTCCCTAGTGAGGTGGACCCAAGTGTGGTGGTCCCTAGTGAGGTGGTCCCTAGTGAGGTAGTCCCTAGTGAGGTGGTCCCTAGTGAGGTGGTCCCTAGTGAGCTGGTCCCTAGTGTGGTGGTCCCTAGTGTGGTGGTCCCCTAGTGAGGTGGTCCCTAGTGAGGTGGCTCCTAGCGAGGTGGTCCCTAGTGAGGTGGCCCCTAGTAAGGTGTCCCTAGCGAGGTGGTCCCTAGCGAGGAGGTCCCTAGCGTGGTGGTCCCTAGTGAGGTGGTCTCTAGTGAGGTGGTCCCTAGTGAGGTGGTCCCTAGTGAGGTGGTCCCTAGTGAGGTGGTCCCTAGTGCGGTGGTCCCTAGTGAGGTGGTCCCTAGTGAAGTGGTCCCTAGTGTGGTGGTCCCTAGTGTGGTGGTCCCTAGTGTGGTGGTCCCTAGTGTGGTGGTCTCTAGTGTGGTGGTTCCTAGTGAGGTGGTCCCTATAGTGAGGTGGTCCCTATAGCGAGGTGGTCCCTAGTGAGGTGGTCCCTATAGTGAGGTGGTCCCTATAGTGAGGTGGTCCCTAGTGAGGTGGTCCCTATATAGTGAGGTGGTCCCTAGCGAGGTAGTCCCTAGCGAGGTGGCCCCTAGTGAGGTGGTCCCTAGTGTGGTGGTCCCTAGTGTGGCGGTCCCTAGTGAGGTGGTCCATAGCGTGGTGGCCCATAGTGAGGTGGTCCCTAGTGAGGTGGTCCCTATATAGTGAGGTGGTCCCTAGTGAGGTGGTCCCTAGTGAGGTGGTCCCTAGTGAGGTGGTCACTAGTGTGGTGGTCCCTAGTGTGGTGGTCCCTAGCGTGGTGGCCCCTAGCGAGATGGTCCCTAGTGTGGTGGCCCCTAGTGAGGTGGTCCCTAGCCAGGTGGTCCCTAGCGAGGTGGCCCCAAACCAGGTGGTCCCTAGTGAGGTGGTCCCTAGTGCGGTGGTCCCTAGTGAGGTGGTCCCTAGTGAGGTGGTCCCTAGTGTGGTGGTCCCAAGTGTGGTGGTCCCTAGTGAGCTGGTCCCTAGTGAGCTGGTCCATAGTGAGGAGGTACCTAGTGTAGTGGCCCCTAGTGTGGTGGTCCCTAGTGAGGTGGTCCCTAGTGAGCTGGTCCCTAGTGAGCTGCTCCATAGTGAGGAGGTCCCTAGTGTAGTGGCCCCTAGTGTGGTGGTCCCTAGTGAGGTGGCCCGTAGTGAGGTGGTCCCTAGCGTGGTGGTCCCTAGTGAGGTGGTCCCTAGCGTGGTGGTCCCTAGTGAGGTGGCCCTTAACCCATCAACCGACAACAGCTGCCCACCCCTGGGGAACCTATTTACTTCTAGGTGAACAGTTGTATCAGAGGAAATTAAACGTGCCCAAATGTTTCTCCTCCAGCCCCAGAAAACAAACAGACAACCTCCCGACTGTGCTACAAGGCTCGTAATATATTTCATTAAATCTCTCTTCTCTCCACCCAGCTTTGTCTCTTCACAAACAATCCTTAACAAACATCTAAGGAACTTCTCAGAGAACTTTAACTTTGTCGTAAATCTCCGTCGTCCGTAACTGTCGCTTGAGACGCCTAACTACAGCGAACTACAGGAGTCTCCCCTGACAGCGTCATTACCGGTCTCCCGAGGCTGTAAGCAAAAATATATCTTCATGTCTGTATTTCAGCTGCGAACGTGAGCTGGTAACGAACGTAACTCGTTCAGGAATCTTACCAATCAGAGGCAGCAGCCAACACAGTGACCTGATTGACGGAAAAACCTCGCCAGAGTTTGTTATCCCAGACGTGCTCTGTGTCTCAAGTCTTGATGAAGGATACAGACAGACAGACTCTTACTTCCAAGAATTTATTCATTAAATTTTAAGTATTTATGTCATTGTAAATAACAACCGATATTCTCTTTTATAACTTTAACTAAAATTATATATAACTATATAACTATTTAACTATTTAACTATATAACTATTTAACTATTTAACTATATAACTATATAACTATATAACTATATAACTATTTAACTAAATAACTATTTAACTATTTAACTATATAACTATATAACTATTTAACTATTTAACTATATAACTATATAACTATATAACTATTTAACCATATAACTATATAACTATTTAACTATATAACTATATAACTATTTAACTATATAACTATATAACTATTTAACTATATAACTATATAACTATTTAACTATTTAACTA